AGACTGAAATCCTGAAAACTCATGGAAACCTGCAGGTGATGGGATTTCCTGACATCTAACACCACTTAGGTATGCCACACGTTCACACCTTTAGAGCAAAGCATTTGTTTAGTCTGGCCTGATCTAACGCGCTGCTTCTGGAGGGGTACTTTGAGATACACAGACACTTGTGCGAGTGAACATTCATTTGTAGATGATAATGGTGATTTAGAGTACATTAGGCTTGGGAACAACTGCAGATCCAGAGTCCCGAACAGCAACGTGCTGAAGGGCAGCTGTATGAGAAGCTCAAGAACACTCTGAAACTGAAGGTAGGAAGAGGACCCAATATTTGGCACGAAGAGGTCCTTGACAACCCAGTCTCACCAAGAAAGAGACAAAAGTGTCTGACAAGTTGTAACTGTGAACACCAACTTGCAATAAACCTACATGGAGGCCACCCAGGACCACAGGTTGACCGACACGCAAAGTGACGTGCCAGGGGCTGGGGTGGCAGTCGAGGACAGAAGGAGATTTCCCCAGTCTGTTCCCCCTGAAAATTCACTCCCCACCAGGATTTCTGCTGTGCCTAACTCATAATGGAAAGGACTAGCAGTTTCGATCAAAGTCTATGGAAATACCAATAGATCAGGGGGGTTACATGTTTACTTGGGAGAAGTCCTGAAAGGGTGGAAGTGATGCTTTACTTGGTCTTGAGGGATCATTCTCCAGGTAGTGGAAGAAGGGAAAGGATGATCAGAAGAGGAACAGCCTGGAGACAGGCTTTTCCAGCGGAAAAGCTTGGAGACAGCCAAGTTGTGGGACTTTAGGACAAGCCAGGACCATCTGCAGGGAAGAGGTCTTGTGGATGTCTGTCATTGTAGAGAAAATAAGAGGCTTGAAAGGTTTTACACAGAAATCACTCCCATACTCACTGAGTATTCTTAGTGAAATCCCCCACTAACCCATGCACTCAGCATCCAATTTAAGAGGCAAAGGAAAGCGAAGATATTCTTACATTGACTACAACGCACTCAGTTTTGAAACACAGATTATCAGGAGAGAAAATCTATGGTATACAAATACTGGACAGCCTCATGTTTGAAATCTCGTAGGTCTATGTCCTCCCCATGTGAGTAGACAGATCTGTTTTTATCAATTCAAACTAGAAAAATTTTAAGTAACTTAGAAAAGAGAGGGTTAAAATGAATGGGGATCCTGCCTGTTTTGCTTGTTTTCCATGGGCTTCTCTGTACAGTTAAGCTCACACCGAGTGAGTTTTGAAGCCCAGGTTTGCTGTGGTCAGCAGCCAGTGGAAAGAGTCCTGTTGCCTCTAAATCACATTTGATCTGTGCTATCCCAGGACATCATCACAGGATCCTGGCCACATGACAATTTATAAGACACACACACACACACACACACACACACACACACACACACTTGTTTCTATAAAAGGTGTGTGAAACAAATAAATCAATTTTATCTCTGTCTACTTCCCTGGATCCCACTCTTCTGCTTACCCCCTACTCTGCCCTGACAGCCTGATGGCTCAGAGCCCTGCTGGGGGACGGGGGTGGCGGCAGGGAGGATTCTGCTACTGAGGTGGGCTTTTTTGGCATATGACACACAACCTGCTTTGGAGAAGGCTTTGCCCAAGAAGGACTAGAAAAACTATTAGTAGCAATTTCTTACAATTCAGCAGCAAGCCTGGGCATAATCAGGAATTAACAAGTTGGCAAAGTATACCAAAGCACTGCCCCCAACCACACACCAGGCATCCTGCCAGCCCTCTCCTTTCTTATCACTCTCATATTTCACCTTCACATCCTCTCCAGCTCTCTTCTACCAGTCTTAAAGTGCAAGATAGTTTTTGTTTGTTTTATTTTTCCATAGGGCGTGAGAAAGAGAAAGAAAAGGAAAGTGAGTCATCTCCTCCCATGGGGATAGCCATGCTGTAATTCCTTCTCCTCCATTCTTCTCTTGGGATTTTGGGCATGCACACACACACACCTGGGGCGTTTCCCAGTACACTGGGCCTGGGACACAAATTCTACTCTCTCATATAGGATCCAGCTTCCCTAACCACCACACCACCTGCCAGTCTCAGATCTCACTTCTGATTGCTTTTAACTGTGTTAAACTTGACAAAGCACACTGCGACTTTCCAAACAAGCACAATTATCTCATTACGCTCGATATTGGATTTTCTGGTTCTTCAAAATAGCTTTGCATTAATTTAGAGCACATCTAAATTTTTTTTTTTTAAAAAAACTATCAGTTGGTTGGCATCATAACTACAGATATTCCTTATAAACAATATTTTACTGCATTTTTAACTTTCGGCTGTTTCATGAAACTATCTTAATGAATTTTTTTATACAGACTATTGTGAGAAAAAAATGGAACAAATGAACCACATAAATTTCATTTAGACTTCTGGCAACAATCACGAAGTCCTATTATATTAATACTTTATGGTAGTCAACTGAGAAAAGAATGCATCAGTGTCACAACATCTGATATACAACACATTAGGCTAAGCCCAGAACCTCACTCACAAGGTTTCAAGGACGTGGCTAACACTAGAAAAGAAGGCCATACCTCGTACAATAGGGGGTGAGGTCCACGGATGTCCCTTCCCCTCTGACCCCTTACTTCTCTGACCCCAATCAACTCCTAATTACATTTGCCACTTGAAGGTGTAAGTGCAAGTGAATGTGTATTGGCAGAACTGGGGAACACATTCAGTGTTAGAGACAGAATCTTACTGAAGGAGACAGGGGCTACCAGGAAGGTGACCTTTGGCATCTGGACAATGGCTCAACCCTGGAGACCGAACCCTGAAACTGGAGCAAATTTGGTCTCAGTTGCAAGTTTCTTAGGCCAAAGGCAATGCTTTCCAAAGTTGTCTGGGCCCCCCTAGAGTCCTTGGGGTGAGGCCAGAGGATTTTCATCACCAGGCAAGCTGGGAAGCACCACAGTCCTCCTGGTTTTCCTTCCTGTGCACCTTTATTGTGCTCATGCGCACTTCCAAGAGAGAGCAGAGTAGCAGCGCCCCAAGGCGGTGGCAGTCAGTGCACGGAAATGGTGACAAGGACCCATCACACTTTAAGTCGTCCTTGTTTTAGTTGCTTGGAAGTTGAAAACGTTCAGAACCCATAATGGCCCGGCCGTCTTTAGAACTGGTGCAAAGCTGAGGTCTGAGACAGCACTTAGCAAACGCCTGGCACTGGGAGGTGCCCGGTAAATACCTGTAAATACCTGGCTGGCCACTGCCTTCTCCTGACAAGAGGATTTTAAGTGGCTGAGTTAAGAACCAGAGCTCAATCCTTCTTAAAAGGTTCTTCTGATAGAGGGAGAGAATGGAGGACACAGAGCACTGACTCATGACTGGAGAAAAAGCAGGTCTGAGAATTTAGTTCTTAAAGGGGAAAGTCACCGTTGAGAGGCAGTGAACATAAATCTCCTAAATTATAGGTGTGTGAAAACTGAAGTACAGAGATCCGGAAGTTGTGGGAAGTGCCTGGGCAGTCCTCGGGGCTGCAAACAGGTAGAGAAACTGGAATCTTAGAGCATGCGAACATGACTGCATGCAAGGCGAATTCAGGGGTTGGGGTGATACATGTGCTCCCCTTAATCCCTGCTCTACATAAAACACAGCCATGTGTCTCTTAGCAATCAGGATGTGCTCAGAGAAACACATTCGTAGGTGATTTGGCCCGAGACCATCAGCGCGCACTTCTGGAAACCTCGACAGCAAGCCCACCGCGCACCTGCGCTGCGTGGCACAGCCGGTACACGCCTGCCCGGCCCATCGTTGACGGGGGCCATCCCTGACAGAAATGGCCTCATGCACACCTCACACACTTTCTTTCACCTTTACTTGAAAACTATCAAAATAATTTTAAAAATAATTTTAAAAATAATTTTTGAAATAGTGTGCTGTGATTTAAACAAGTACATTTGCATATTTATTTGGAACTCGAAACCTGGAGCGAAGGTTTTGTGGGTTCTGACTCTTTCTCTCCAGGTCTGCGTGACTCTCGGTGGCTGGATGGGTGACTTTGGTGTCCAGAAAAGGTGGGCATGTACCTCAGTGTCACGGGAACGGCTGGACGAGAGACCAGGGGAAGGCTGCAGGGGTGGCCTCGGTGTCCGGGGGAGAGTCAGACAAGAGGTCAGCATCGGGGCAAGGCCGTGTGTGACCATAGTGTCCAGGGGAAATGGCGAAATCCTCAGTGGCATTCTTTTCGAAAGCAGCCGAATAGGCAATTCCCTCCTGCCACTCCTTTCCTGGGGGGCCTCCAGGGGAAGGGGTTCAGCTGCCCAGAGGCCACAGGGGATGTGGAGGAGGAAGCTCTGACACACCAGGGTTGAAAGCTGCCTGCAGGCCTTCTCCTCGGTACGACTGAGGGCCACTCTGCTCTGCGGAGGCCTCCCTCTGCAGTGGGACAACAGTCTGAATTTGTCTGAACTGTCCTCCCACGCCAGGCTGCTAATATTCTGTGGGAGGCCCGAATTCCCAGACTGTCACCCCTTTCCACCGGGAGGTGCAAGAACGCACATTCACACATTTCAAAGCCTGCTACAAAATACACAGTGGATGTTCACGCCTGTCTCCTTGGCACCCCTTCTTCTACCACTTCTCCTATGCCGAGCATCCTCAGCCCCTGTATGTCACCCAGCCTGGCCTCAACCAGGACCTCAATAGACGTGAGCTTCAACACATGGCAGCTCTCCCGCTCTTCTAAGAGCTGGGATGTCAGAGCTTGCCTGGGACTTGGGTGTATTTTTTCTTGTTTAGGGGATTTCGTATCTCGGCTCAGCTGCAACATGTGGGGAAAGTTAGGTAATGTCCCACCGCCTCAGCTGTGAAATCCCGCAGGAGGAGGTGCAAACGCCTTAGTGATTTTACTGCACATGGAAAATGCAGAGCCTGTATCTATGTATACAGATGGAATATTAATGTTGCTCTCAGGGAAGTGGGTAATTGCATGCAGTGGCAGTCTCTGCATCACCTGGTCTTGGGACTTCTTCTTCTTCTTCTTCTTGCCCCAGCACCCGGAGCTCTCCGCATCCTTGCCGTTGGCCTCACCGCAGAGCAGCCCATCCAGCTCATCCGTGCCCATGTGCTGTCCCTGAGACGTTTCTGCTGCCAGCCGGTATGAGAGGTTCCTTAAAATGCACACACAGTTTTCAACGGTCTGGAGAACCCAAAAAGAGAGAGGAAGAATGAATGAAGACTACCCAACACAGTACTGCTCACAGACAGGGCAGCCCAGGTGCATGGCCACGTCTCTTTCTGGGTGTGTCAGCTCCTGGCATTGGAGTGCTCCCTGATGGCCCCGGTGGAAAGAACTGAGAGAAGCCTGGATGGACCTTAAGAACTCTTCTCACTCAAAGAAACTACTTCTCAACAACAGTTACTTCTGTAAACAGCTGTCATGGGATTGAAATTCAATTATGTACTGGTCCTGTGCCCTACTGGTTAAGGAAGCCAGATCCCACATGGCCAACCTTATGGTTCAAATCCTGGCCCTGGTAGCTTGGAAAATGTGCTGGGCCCATGTGCATGCATGTCTCAGATTCCTACAGGATGGAGAAATAGAGGAGAAGAGATTGTGTCATGACCACACCACATGGGGGGGGTGCTTTTGCCTTCTCCCTCTCTCTCTGATGAGTGCATATGCCTTCAAGAAAGAAAAGAGAAAGAAAAAAAACAAAACAAAGAATAAATTCTCTTATGAGAGGGGAAGAATTTATAAGCAAAAAAAGAGCCCAAACATCATTCACCTGCTAACAGTTCCGTCTAGGGACTGGGGTCAGAGCAAGGAGAGTGAAGATGTCAGATTTCGGTGAGCTCTGTGGGGTGACGCTAGAATCTGCTCTCTACCAGGGCACTTTCTGGGTGCAGAGAAAGGCAACACCAACCTCAGTGGTGCAGTTAGTAGCATACTAATCTGCAGCGCTAGAAGCCGCATGGCTATCTGCTGGTTCAAATCCTCACTTGACCTGAAAACGTGCTGGTGTGTGTGCCCAAGACCCTGACTAGTTGAAAGGCTATGGAAAGTGATTGTGGAGCGACGGGGCTCTGTGAAGGTCTCGGTCTCTCTCTCTCTCATGCACATATGTGTTCTCTCATCAAAACCCAAAAGGAGGAGGACAGGTGTAAACCAGAGTTGTCCCAGGTGAGTGAAGGGCCGTGGTCACCTGGGGCATAACTGCTTTATTCAAAGATGTTTCTGACCAGGCTGAAACACCTACTTTGATAGCAAATACATTAAACTGTGGTGAAGGGCACAGGAAGTGCTACTTGTAGAACCCTAGGTCTCCAACTCTCAGTTGCAAGACTTTAGACAATGAACAGAACATCTCTGGACTCATATCCTTCTCTATAAAATGATCATAAAAGGACCCACATCCACACCTAGTAACCATTAGGTTGCTGTGAGGATTAAGTGAGCTAACATAGGGGTGTATGGTAGGCAAAATAACAGCCCCCAAACTATCCACCTCCGAATCTCTGGAACTTGTGAATCTGTTAGGATTGTTATGTTGCAGGAAAGAATTAAGGTTGAATATCAGCTGACAGTGTGATGAAGAGAGGATCCTGAAAAATCTGAGTGGGCCCAATGTGATCACAGGGGTCCTGTCAGTGAAAGCAGTTCAGAGCCAGGTCAGAGGATGTGCTGTGAGAAGGACTCGACCTGCCACTGCCAACTGTGAGGACAGAGGAGAGGGCCACAAGCCAAGCAATGTGGGCAGCCTCTAGAAGATGCAAGAGGCCATGAACCCAAGTCTGTCCTGGAGCCTCCAGAAGAAATACAGTCTTGATGATGCTTTGACTTTATTCCAACGAGATACTTGATGGATTCCTGACCTCTAGAGCTATAAGAAAACAACAACAAACTTGTGTTCGAAGCCACCAAATTTGTGGTCATTTTTTAAGGCAGGAAAAAAAAAGTATACAGTATGTCAATCCTGAGAAGACGCTTGGTGCACAGGAATGCTCTACTTGGGTGCATGTTGACACAATGGGGGACAGAAGAGCTTGGAGGTCCTGAGCATGGCACCTAGAGCTACCTGGGTGTGGGTCTAGGCTGGGCCATTTAATAAATGGTGTGGCCTCGGGCAAAGTACTTAATCTCTCTGTGCTTGTTCTCACAGGTATAAAGTGGGGGCCGATGATGGTACCCACCTTCCTTGGGCTATTGTGATGGTTAATGTGTTAATAGACTGTGCTCTCAGAATAGTGCCTGTTGCAAATTTGCTACCACCAATGAAAGAAGTTGGAAATTCTGGAAATACCATTTCTAAAACTGCTCATTGTTAAGAGGAGAGGTTGGAAACTGCACGTACAGGCCAAAGCCAACCTCTAGCCTCTCGTATATAACATTGCACTAGAACAGAGCGAGGCTCACCTGTGAATGTGTTTCTATGACTGCATTCATGCTATGGGGCAGGATTAAATCACTGTGACAGAACCTGTGTGACCCCCCCCCCCCAATGCCTGGAATATTTACTCTCTGGTCTTCTTAGGAAAAGTTTGCTCGTTAAGACAAAGCTGACCATTCGATATTTCTCCTGGACTTGAAAAACCATGGGAAGAAGGAGAAAAAGTCCCAATTGTTAAAAAGGGGAAAATGATGAAAAAACTAAACCAAGCTAAGGTTTATATTTCAAAGAATCACAGCTACCATTTTTCAGGCATCTACGAGGGGATTTCAAAAAGTGGAATTAAAATAGGAGTTTATTTTGGTGTAAACATTTTTGAAATCTGTGTGTGCTTTTTTCTCCCGATATTCATTTTGCATTCATTTTTGAAGTCCCCTTCTACTAGGAGATAGCCAGTGATCAAGGCAGGCGACAAGTTCCATTTTACAAATGAAGGGAAGGAGACCAGAGCTGCTGGGACCCGCCCCTTCTCTGTAGTCCTGGGCTAGTCCTGGGCTAGGGCTGGAATGGACGGGGCGGACAGGATGCACCAGAATCTGCTAAAAGGCAGCCCCTTCCCTTTACTTGATTATTGCAGGTGTGAAAATCAACTAGCAAAACCAGCTTCCAGGAAACATCGCTGGAGCCTTTGCCATGCCAGACCTTCCCTGTCAGCTTTTCAAGGTTTCATGGGCTGCTAATCCCACAGGCTTTGAGTCAACTTGATTTTCTATTTCAAGCATCCTCTTAGCATCAAAAAAGGAACCGGCATGAAAGCAGGTGAGCATGGGACAGTGCACGGAAGAGAAGAGTCTCTCATTGAAAGGAAAATGTTATGGCATAAGTCAGAACGATTTTTAAATCTGCTCAAACTGATTTTTCTTACATCAAAGACTTGGGAAAATAAACTTCTTTCTCATCCTGCTGTTCGGCTTCCCCAGGGGCATCCTCATTCCTTCACTTAACAAACAACTACTGGGAAATAAATCTGCAGTTTCAAGAAATGCTTTAACATCTACCTGCTGCTGGGGAGATGATTTGGGGGAGAAGCCGCAAGGAGAGAGAAAGTGGGGAAGGGGGAGGGTCTCGGGGATCCTACTCCGCCCTCTCACTAAGCCTCCTGCAGCTTAGCAGTCTGGTTTGGGAGGGTTGTCACTTCAAGAGCTCTTCTCTAAAGGGGTGGGAGAAAAAACAGGAAAAAAAAAAAAAAAGACATGGGATCCCAGCAGAAGCGAAGTGGCAGCTGGTGGCTTTGCTTGTGACATCCATTGCTGTCAACAGCACTTTCAGAGGCTCCTGACCGTCACCAGGGTCGGTTTGACTCCTTATTTTCTATTAGGAAGAGCTAATTTGGAAGATTCCTGTAGATGCTCTACCATATGTCACCCATTCAACAAACTGTCCCAATTACAGGAGCAGGGCTGCGAGCTTCCATGGGATCCAGGCTCTTTCATTCATTCACTTCTCTGGCCTTAAAGAGAATGTGTACTCATTTTTTTTTTTTTTTCCTCCAACTTGTCATTGTGAAAGCCCAGAAGAGGCCAGCAGAAGGCTGAGTGGAAAATGATGGCACCATAATAATAAATTAAAACTCAACGGCACAATCTGGCCAGCAAAGCACTGCTGAGTGATTGGTCACTTCTAATCCTTTCAACAGCCATGCCGTTCAGCTGCGATTACCCTCCTTGTCACAAAGTTGAGGTCACTTGGGCTCAGCCCTCCACCCAATGGGAGGTGGGGATGGAGTTGTCCCGATGTCAGCTCAGTTCCCTTTACTGCATCAGGGAGACCCGGGACTTCTGACTCCAGCCCTGAATACTCTTACTTATTCCAACCTCCTCTTTTGGGGAAACTGTGGGTATTAAAAGAGATGATTTTCAACATTTCCTAAGAGTTTTGAGTCTGGCCATCTGAAAACATCAGACAAAAGGTGGAGCACATTAGTTCATTCACTCTTTCTAAGTGTATTTATTTCTTCCACAAGTGAGAAAGAGACAGAGACAATACCTTCCACAGGGTCATCACACTGAAATCCGCCCTTGGCTTCCCAACCCTGGATCATGGACATGCATGCACTCGGCATGTTCAGGGAGGTTTCCAGAAACAAACCCAGAACCTTCCCACGTGAGTCATCCCAGCAGAACATTATGTTACCCACGTGCCACCACCATTGTCTGGCCCCAGCACATTGGCTTTCGAGCCATGACCCTGAGTATGGCCTTAACCTCCAGTCACAGTGGTAGGGCTACCAGGCCGAAACACCAGACTACTGACTCTTTATTCCCAACTGCAAGGTCTGGGAGTGATAAAGACCTTCGGGAGTCCATCACAGTATAAGGCCTGGTCTTTCAATGTCCTGGTATTTCAGCCTTCTAATATTACAATAGGAGGCACTGCTGCTTTTGCTAATGAGCTCTTTTGAAAATCATGTGCCTATTATGCTAACAGGCATCTGTAAATACTCAGTACATCTTGACTGGTTGTTTTTTCAGGATTTAATCTTCTTGTCAATGATATGAAAAGGTCTAAAATGGTTGCTAAGGGCTTTTATGAAATAGGAATGCTTAAGCCTGTATTACATTCCATTCCATCATTTAAATTAATAACACACAGTAAATGAACGGATGCAAACCTGAGTTGCTACAATAAGATGACAACCAGAATTCATAACTGGAGTAAACCAGTCCTGGAAGGGCTGACAGCTCAGGAGATATCCTGGGTCCAAATCTTCAGTGAGGAAGGCTCAGGTCTAGTAATTTCCTAGATTTTTTGGTAATGCTGATGTGTCAACAAGGTTGAAGAGTGCTCTGCTAACTTAGCCACAAAGCTAGTTGGTAACTAGATAAAGAGAATCACCTGCATTTGTTGCACATCTGACTTTACGACTAAATGACTTCATGCCAGATTTCTCATTAAAGGGTCCATCTACTGAGGCAGATTCTTAAGCCAAGATGCACATCGAATTGCCTGATAAACTTCTGACATGAAAACTTGGCATGCAAACTTGAGACCAGAGTTAAAATCTGGATTCAGAGAACTGGAGTGGGGTCTGACAGATGTGTTCAATGCTCCAAAAGCAATTCTGATGAAGAGCTGGGACTCAAACATGGGCTTAGGCAGTGGTTCACAACCAGAACCAATCCCGCTCCCCACAAAACACGTGGCAATGTCTGAGGACATTTCTGTTTGTTACAACTGGGCTGGGGTAGGGGACTGCGACTGGTATCTAGCGAGTAGAGGCCAGAGCTGCTGCTAAACATTCTCCAACACTCAGGACGGTCCCCACAACAGAGATAGTTGGCCCCAAACACCAGTAAGAGTGACATACGAGAACTCTTTATTACGGTATCATGTTTATCACATGTATTTAAATGCTTTTACTTTAAAAGCATTGATAAAGTCTGTGTTTATATCAGGGTATTATGAAATCACTGCAAATTTATATTTAGAGTGGGTCAAAACTAATTTAATTAAGACAAAGCAAAATAACTCAAATACTGGAAAAGCCTATGCAGTCCTATCTTGGCTTATGAACTAAAACAGTAGGCATTGATGATTTAACATGTTGGCAGTTTCATTTACATAGCAGTGTGGCAGCATTTAATTAGATTTTGCAGGCATCTTGAAATGGTATTCAATATAATTAACAGTTGTTAAAAAGCTAATTTATAACAAGATAAGATTATGCAAATCTCAGGTAGTTTTAATATTCCTTTTCTTTTGAAAGTAGATTTTATCAAATAATGGTTAGACACTGGTGGGTAAAGTGGTATACAAACAAGCATACACTCACCTGGAATACCCGTGGCTTGAGTCACTTAAAAGAATCTAAATTTGTACTCTCTGCAAAAAGCTAGGTGTCTAGTTCCATAATAGGATTAGTGTTTTCACTGTGTAGAAAATGCTAGATTCATACAAGGAAACCAAATAGAGTTAGGGCGAAAGTCTGAAATACTGCGCTAGCTCCCTGTCCTTGTTAGCCATTGTTTAGTCCCACGGGTGTCACTATTCTTGCACTCGTTTAATCTATGCAAAGACAACAAACCTTGCTATCGATCTCACTGCTCCCCAGCGCAGACTGAATCACATACAGCAAGGCATCTGTGAGGCCGTCGCACTCCCGCATCCTTCTGCGGGCCTCCTCTCCAGCTGAACTCACATTCCTGCAAAACAAGAGGATGGATCAACCACCTTCACCAGTGTCACCAAAACGGTGTCCTTCCATGCCAACCTCCTCATACTTCTAAAGCAACACATTTTGCTTTTTTTCTTTTTGCTTTTTTAGAATATTTATCACAACTATAACTCATTGAGTAGGAATGACTTCAACAAACTTATCCTAGGATAGAGCTGGTCACAGATATCTCTCGTGCAACCCATGAAATAGAGAATGCCTAATTCCTACCACGTGATCTATCTGAGTCCTGTGACTGCTGAGAATGGGAGACTTCCAGAGAGCCCTCAAGGTGACTTCATTTTCCATAGAGGATAGCATCAGAAGCCTTTTGAGTCAAAGGATTCTTCATTGGGAAGTTTGAAACTTTTTCAAAGACAGAGCTTCCAACTTATAAAAATATTTCAGAGCTCTAAATTTTCTTGCCTCAAAAAATATACCTACTTTGGTCCAGCCAGAGGTAGATTCCTAGGAATTCATTCTAAAGATGTATACAGGGGTCTGTGACAGTCATTGGGATGTTCATGGTCCATCTTCAGAAAAGGAGGTGCTCCAAGCTCTTTGCTGTTCTGGCACAAGCTCAGCTAAAGGTGCCTGAGGGGCCTATTTTAATGAGATGTACAGCAAAGAAGCTGAGATCTTCCTGCCCTTCCCTACAGAAGATAATCCTCCTTGGAGGTGAATCTTTGGGGGTAATTTTAGTTATTCCAGCAACTAGGAGTATGTTCTTCCTTGCCTACCCATGGTTAGGATCTGGTTTTGGTAGAGAACTTTCAAAGCAATTAACAAAGGATAGTCTGTAGAAGGGATACTAAAGGAGGTGAGGTAGTGAAAGGTACAAAGGGTTTGAAGGAATTTAGAGGCTGTGGGAGGAGGGTTATGGAAAAAGAATGATTAGATTGGGGAGTGGTTTCCAAACTTTGGGAATGTCCAGTCTCTTAGAGGGATCTTTATGGCAGGCTGTGGGGTTCTACCCCAGAGCCTCAGACTCAGGAAGTCTAGAGTGGAGTCAGAAAATCTGCATATCCTTGTCCTTAGTGGAGAACTAAGTGCTAACTCTGTGGGGAAGGTTTGGAGAGGGGAGGGTGTTCCTTTTTCCTGATTACTAGGGAAGATCCCAACAATCTGTGAGTTTGGACAGACTCTGGAGAAGTTAAGCATTTAAAAGAACAAATCTCCATGCCCACGCTGTTACTGAGACGGATATTCTCATTTTATGTTCACAAGATCTTTTACTGTTGTCCTTGATTCTACGTTATAGAAAAGAAATGGAGGCTCACAGAGATTGTGTCAAGATCATGTAGCTACTAAGTGGAGTAGCTGGAACAAAGCCAGATCTAAAGAAAGGACTTCAGGGACCAGCAGTTAGCGTAATGGCTATGTCGCTGAACTCCCATGTAGTCGACCGTGGTTCGCCTCCTGGACCCAGTGGCTTAAAACTCACGCTGGGTGTGTGTGCGTGTGTGCCCAAGATCCTGAGAGGAGAATGGAGGAGAAGGGATTGCGGCATGGCCACCCCCCCAGGGGGTGATTTCTCACTTTCTGTCTCTCTGTCTCTCTCTGTCTGTATGCGCCCTATAGCAAAAACCTCTCAAAAAAAAAAAAAAAAAAGAAAAGAAAGGACTTCAGGCCTGATACAGAATATAGATGGGCTATTTTTTAGAAATTAAAATTAAACAGAATAGGTCTAATGCTAAAATGCTATTGTATGAATGTTTTCTACAACATCTCCAAAGTTTCATAGGATGTGTTAAAATGGGCTCTAGCAACATTTAATGTAACCAAAAACAAAAACCTCCAAAAAAAAAAAAAAAAAAAAGTAAAGAAAGGACTTCAGGCCTGATACAGAATATAGATGGGCTATTTTTTAGAAATTAAAATTAAACAGAATAGGTCTAATGCTAAAATGCTATTGTATGAATGTTTTCTACAACATCTCCAAAGTTTCATAGGATGTGTTAAAATGGGCTCTAGCAACATTTAATGTAACACTGAGAAGGCTATTCCATTTGTTAAAGTATATTGGCCTAAGAAAGCCTCCATACTCCTGATTTAGCTTCCAGAAGCAAACTGCTTCCTTAGTAAGTTGCTAAGTTACAGCCAATCACAGCAGTTGCACTTCAGTTAATCACAGACATCCTACCTTTTACACTGTGTTGACACAAACTTTAAAATTTAATGAATCCAATTCTTTTTCAACCTCATTCCCCTACTTCTGTTTTTGTATGTCACATTTCCCGTTCTTGCATATGTCATTTTCCCTTTCCAGACCATAAACATGTTCAACATGAGGGTACCCGGAGTCCCGTGGAAGCCATTCCAGGCTCTCCAATTCAAATTGTGTTTTGTTTTTTTTCTTTCTTTCTTCTTCTTCTTTTTCTTTTTCTTTCTTTTCTTTTTTTTTTTTGGCTCAATTAAACAGCACTAAATTAAATTGTCTGAAGTTTTTCTTTTCACACATTCAAATGAGTATTTTTGGCATTTGCTGATTTAAAGTATAAATAAAATTCCTCACTTCCTCAGATAATATAATTAAGCAAATACTAATAGCATTTTTTGGGGGGTAAAATATTATAAATTCTGTCTTGTGGTGGCCAGTCTTTGGTTTCTGACATGATCTTAGTTGGGAAAAGAGAGTAGCACTCACTTTCTGCTAGGTAAAAAGTAGGGAGAGGCATATGGGAAATATTTTGAACTTGAAGGATGGTCCCCATGAAAAAGCACATTGACAACTTCAATGAGTTGAACTAAGTTTGTCAAGAATTCCAGTCAGATCTTTTTTGTCCAGAAGACTACAGGGTAGCAATGTGTGGTTATGTGTGACTCTGTAAGTCTGGTGAGGTAGATGGTATTTCCAAATGGAGAATTTTGGAATTCAGATTTGAAAGCTCCTGAGGGACAGCTAGTGCGCCCCCTAGCAGAAACACCCTCTGTTCTCCCCCTTGCATGATGCGCTCAGCCTTCCCTTGAGTATCTTTATGATGGGGTGGACTGCCTCTGGATTCACACACACACTTCATACAGATAAGCTTTTATTTTGCTGGTATACAGTGAATGTACTGGGCCGAGCACTAGGAAATAATAGGAATGGGCATTATCAACATTAGAGCTGTCAATATTAATCTTAACATTTTACTTCACACCAGTTGTATCCCATCCTAGTACAGTCTCCTCCAAAATATAAGAAGTTATCAGTTGGCTAATACAATCAAATGTGTAAGAGATTGAGAAATGAAAACTATCAACAAGAGGCCTCAGCAGAGAAGGCCTCAGCAGGTGGCGTGGTGGTTAAGGCGCTGGACAGCCCCACATGGCTCACCATGGTTTGAGTTCCAGACCTGGTGGCTTGCTTGCTTTCGCTCTCTCTCTCTCTCTCTTTCTGGTCAAATTTAAATAAATGAATTAATAAACAAAATAAAGTAAAATAATTATTAAAAAAAAGATTAGCTAGACCTCTGTAAACTTTTACTGGGTGCACATAAGGAAAGGCTGAGTTTCTTTGAACAGCTCTTGATTTCCATATCTATGTTTGTTTTGTTTTTAAATGACGGGATACACGTATGTGAGAGTGTGGGTGCGAGAGAGTGCATGTGTGCCAGCCCTCAACATGGTCTCATCGTGCTGTGACTCCCCTCCCCTGGCCCTCCAGCCCCCAAGATCGCGCTCCCCTCTGGCAGGCCGATGGTGTTTTCAGGAACACCTGGGGTACAAACCTGCAGTCAGCCGTGAGGGCGTCAGGACACTGCAGACTGCACCACCAGGCCGGACTTGCTTATGTCTTTTTAAAGCTGGTATCTCTTCACAGCCACGCCAGAACAATTTCCAGAGAAGTAAGTTTCCCTGATTTTTTCTTTTTTTTTAAGGATTAGCACAGTCTTGCTGTTTGGATTACCATGCCCCTTACTGTCTTCTCGCAAGGAAGGTAATTTCTTTATAAATCAGGACAATGATGGCTTGGTAATTGCTTTGCTGATCTGCAGGGACAGAATGCTTCAGTGACTAAAGACCATCTTCCTACTGGGGCGGGAGCCAAAGCCGCCACTGCTCTGCTCTGGAGCGGAAGTCACCACATTCACACGCTCCCAGCCCCTCCTAAGTCTGACCTCAGAAAGAGCTGGACCAGTTCTTCTGAGAACTACTAAACACAGCCTCTTTTAAGACTGCCTGGGTCCAGGCCTTCTGGAGTCAGCCATGCATCAGAAAACATTGTTCCAGAGAAGCCCCAAGCAGAACCGGAAATACCTGTGAGAAGACACCCTCTCGCTGTCAAGTACTGCCTAGGGTTTTAGCTACATGGTTCCAATTAAAATTGATGGTCGCCACAGAGTTAACTGCTCCATGAAATGTCTGCTGAAAGTTTCCCATTGGGCTAAATTACAAAGAAATCAGAAGGAAAAAAGGGTGAATGCTGTGTGGCTAAAACCATTAACAGTGAACCTAATTGTGCACGTGGTCCTCTGTGCCCCACAAACTCACACACCGTTCACACTTACTCTTTCCTAACTTGCAGTACTTGGGTATGAGCGGTACTCCCTGGGCCTTCAGCTTTTAGTGAGCAGACCATGCCATGAGCTTGGAGCAGTCACCTGTGGTCCAATCCCCTGGGCCAAAGGTCACCTACCCTGCATTCCTCTAACACCTAGAAAGGTCACTCGGGTACATCCACGCTGTGCTCGGAAACTTAGGGTACATAACATACTGGAAGCCTCCAGATCCAACCCTGGTTCTGGCATCTCAGAGTCGGCTCAGGGCACTTCCCACCAAGTCTACCCACTGCTGCCACCACAAGCATGTCCGCACTTGCTGAGCAACTTGTCAGCCCAGTGACCCAAAGATAGATGCAAACTGGCAAAAAGAAAACATCATGGGCCAAAGTGCAAATTAAGACAAAAAATGAACAAAACCAGTGTTCTCTTCCTTTTCTGCTAATCCAAATTATTCCTCACCCACCAGATATGATTTCATATCACAAACCCTAAGGTTTAGAAT